GCCCATTTATGCATTCCACACTGATAGAAAAATGTAATTATTAAAATTTTTTTTAAATGAGAGAGTATCTTTACAAAAGTTATATAATCCACAAGCAACTAATTGTGGAATCTTTTATACCAGGGATATTATTTTTCCTTATTTAGTACAAATCTATCTTATATACATACATTAAGCAAGCATATAAACAAACAAAAATCAAATGTGGAAATATTCTAAAAATATTTTAAATGATTTTGTTTTTAATTGGCAAAGAAATCAGAACATGGTATTTTAAAACATTTCTGAGTACTATATGATAAAACCATTATAGATAATATCTGGAAAGAAATCCAAGAAGTAGAATCTGATTGTGAAGTGGCTCTTGTTCATATTAAGCATTATCTACACCTAACTTTACCTCATTTATAAAGATTATAGAGGGAACCCACAGGATATACTGTACCTCTCCTTCTAGTATCTGGGTGGCCACATCTTTGCCAGTTTTGGCAGGAATAAAGAGTGGTGTTGGTGGTCTGTCCAAAAATGCATCTGTTTGGCATTCCATATCAACTTCTATTATGCGATCAGCAATTTCTTCAAGGTATAATTCTAAGAAGAATCATCATATACATTGAGTTTAAAATTCTGGTCTAAGGCCAGGCACAGTAGTTTATGCCCATAATCCCAGCACTTTAGGAGGCCGAGGAGGGTGCATTACTTGAGGCCAGGAGTTTGAGACCAGCCTGTCCAACATGGCGAAACCCCATCTCTACAAAAAATACAAAAATTAGCTGGGTGTGGTGGTGCGTGCCTGTGGTCCCAGTCACTTGGGAGGCTGAGGTGGGAGAATTGCTTGAACCTGGGAGGTGGAGGTTGCAGTGATCCAAGATCGTGTCACCGTACTGCAGCCTGCGCAACACAATGAGACTCTGTCTCTAAGAAAAAAAGTTCTGGTCTATTTCAAGCATATATGCGTATTTGAAATTTTAGCTCTTTCAAAACATATTTAAATGAATCAGAAAATAAGTATTAGAATAAAAGTGTTCAAATATGGGGCTTACTTCACATACTGAACTAAGAGTTTTTAAATATTTGGAAGACCATAGATAGAGTTAGTCAGGCTAGAACATTTACTGAATGTCTAGAAAGCACTGAGCTTTGTATTTGAAAATAGAACTGAAGAAGAACATGAGACCATAGATGTGTATAAGATGCAGAGTACAACAGTGGATAAAAAGTCAGTAATACACATATATATATTTGAGTCCTAAGACAGTAAACATATAAAGATTTGAAAATTCCTGGATATTTAAAAAAATAATGTACCAAGTCACCGGCTTATTTGATGTTCCCTCTACACTACAGATTATAAACAGATGTATGAAAACAAATTTCATGTTAGGAGTAATTTATATGAGGCAAGGGTAATGTGGTATCAAGCAAAGAACATGAGCACTAGAGTCAGATGTTGGGCACAGGACTTGGCCAAGTCATGTCCTCTCTGGGCCTCAGTTTCTTCATCTGGAAAATGGGCTATAACTACCTGTCACACAGAATCTTTGTAATAATGAAGGAAATACACAGATAAAGGACCTGGTTCAGTCTCTGAGGAAATATCCAAAAAAAGCTGGCTGCTATTATATCACTTAATATTCTGATGGTATAAAGAAACATGAAAACTTAGCTCTTTGGCTAATGACAGCCATACACACATTCTAGACTTGGCGTAAAGGCAGTGTTAAAGCATGGAATGGTCCCTTTTGCTTTTACCATGCAGAAATAATCCTGATGGATCCACTCACCATCTTGGAAGGGTACAAAGTGAACCTTAAGTAGTGACAGTGGTCCAAGGAAAACACCAAGCACTGTCTGATGACCAAGATTCTGTCAACAATACAGCTAGACCCTATAGGACCAGGTAAACCTCTACAGCTGAGGACAGCAAGACAAGCACGCAAATCCTGACACCTGCCTCAGGGGTGCCTGTGTGGCCCTGGGGAATGTGCACAGTGACAGAACCGGAGGACAGAGGAGGCTGGTGTGAGAGGCAGATGACTCAGATGGGAGTGGGTTTATTCCTCGCAAAAGACAAAATGACAAAGTAGAATTATATTGCTCTCCTTTCCTATAAGTCCTAATGAAAAGAATAGTGATTCATGTTGGGCTACGAGAAAGAATCCCAGTTTGAGAACAGAATATGTGGAAAAGGGCTCCTAAGACAGAATTTGTTTGGTCACAAAATTCTTTTATTTATTTATTTGTTGCCCAGGCTGAGCGCAGTGGTGTGATCATAGCTTACTGCAGCCTTGAAATCCTGGGCACATATAATCCTCCTGCCTTAGCCTACTGGGTAGTTGGAATTACAGGCATATACCACCATGCTCGACCAATTTGAAAATGTTTTTGTAGAGATGGGGTCTTGGTATGTTGCCCTGGCTGGTCTCGAACCCCTGGGCTCAAGTGATCCTCCTGCCTTGCCTCCCAAAGTGCTGGGATTACAGATGTGAGCCACTACGCTTGGCCAAAATTCTTTTTTTTTTTTTTGAACCCCATCCCACACTTCCAGTCATATCCACTAAGATAATAGTATACAGTCTATGTATTTCTTTCTCTCTCTCTCTCTTTTTTTTTTTTTGAGATGGACTTTAGCTCCTGTCGCCCAGGCTGGAGTGCAATGGTGCGATCTCGGCTCACTGCAACCTCCACCTCCCGGGTTCAAGTGATTCTCCTGCCTCAGCCTCCCAAGTAGCTGGGATTACATGTGACTGCCACCATGCCCAGCTAATTTTTTGTATTTTTAGTAGAGACGGGGTATTTCACCACATTGGCCAGGCTGGTTTCAAACTCCTGACCTCAGGCGATCTGCCCGCCTCAGTCTCCCCAAGTGCTGGGATTACAGGTGTGAGCCAGCACACCCAACCTAGTCTATGTATTTCTTTAATAAATGAACTTCCCTACCATGTTACTAGGGAAGTATCAGCACAGGAAAGGCATAAATAATACAAAGGCCAAACACAAATGAACTGACAGACAACTGAGTAAACCAAGAGGACACAATGCCAAGGGCACAGTCACACACCTGTTTGCACATCGACATGCTTTCTGCCTTCCACAGGTTCAGGTGTTTGTGGTCTGAGCTGCTCTTGGGCTTGTTTTCTGGCAAGAGCCCTCTTCTTAGCCTCCCGTTGTCTCTGAAGCTCTAGAGAATCAGGCTGTCCGAGCTAACAGTGATAGAAAATACTTCTAGAATTTAGAAAATATTTATTAAAGCATACAAGAACTGCCATTCCAAAAGCAATTCCTGGGTAGTATAAAGGCATTTATCATAATGTTTCCTGATTATCAGTAACTTCATTAAAATTGCATTAGTACTTTGTCAGATAATTACAAAGATATTTGACAAAGCATAAAAGTAACTTCAAAGTATGGCTGTTAACTGGAATACATGGGTGCACAATCCTATCTATATATTTACAAAAATAATAAAAACATTTCCTTTTTAATTCATTTGTTGACCTGCTGATCATTCAGGAGCATGCTGTTTAATTTCCATGTATTTTTGTAGCTTCCAAGGTTCCTCTTATTATTGATTTCTAGTTTTACTTCATTGTGATCAGCAAAGAAACTTGATAGAATTTCTACTTTTTTGAATTTGTGCAGACATGTTTTGTGGCCTAAGATATGGTCTATTCTGAAGAATGATCCATGTGCTGAAGAAAAAAATGTGTACTCTGCAGAGGATGGATAAAATGTTCTATAGATATCAGTTAGTCCTAATAGGTCTAGTGTGAAGTTTAACACCAATTTTCTTTTCCTTCTTTCTCTTTTTTTTCCTTTCTGTTTGGATTATCTATTCATTACTGAGAATGGGTTGTTGAAATCTCCTACTATTATTGCATTGCTTTCTATTTCTCCCTTTAGATCCATTCATGTTTGCTTCACATAATTGGGAGCTCTGGTGTTGGGTGCATATTTATCATTGTTACATCCTCTGGCTGAACGGATCACTTTATGATTACAGAGTGACTATGTTTCTTTTTACAGTCTTTGATTTGTAGTTTATCTGATGTAAGTATACTCATGTTCTTTTTTGGTTTCTAGTTGCATGGAAAATCTTTTTCCATCCCTTTACTTTCAGTCTATGTGTGTCTCTGTAGGTGAAGTGGGTTTCTTGTAGGAGCATACAGTTGGGTCTCGTTTCTTTACCCAATCAGCTATTCTATGCCTTTTAATTGGAGAACCAAGTCCTCTTACATTCAGTGTTATTATTGATAAAGCAGGGACTTCCTACTACCATTTTGTTGCTTATTTTCTGGTTGTTTTGTATCTCCTTCCTTCCTTATTGTCTGTCTTTGTGTTAAGTGACTTTATCTGGTAGTATATTTTAGTTTATTGCTTTTAATTTTTGGTGACTCCACTACAGATTTTTGCATTGTGGTTACCATGAGCCTTACAAAAAAACATAGATATAGCAAGTTGTTTGCAGAGATGACAACTTATCTTAGATCACAAAGAACAGAAGCAAAGAAAAATTATTCTACACTTTAACTCCATTCCCCTACATACTAACTTTCAGTTGCCTCATTGCACTTTTTTTTTTTTTTTTTTTTGAGACCAAGTCTGCACTGTCGCCCAGGCTGGAGTGCAGTGGCGCGATTACCTACCTCTTAACAGGTTGCTGCAGCTATTACTGTTTTTGATAGTTGTCTTTTGGGCCTCATAGTAGAATTACGAGTGGATTGCATACTACAGTTATAGTATGAGAGTATTCTAGGTTTGTCTATGTACTTAATTTAACCAGTAAGTTTCATACCTTCAAATGTTTTCTTTTGGCACATTAGTGTTTTTTGTTGTTGTTGTTCAGGCTGAAGAATTTCCTTTAACGTTTCTTGTGAGATGAGCGTGGTGGTGCTGAATTTGCTCAGCTCTTATTTGTCTAGGAAAGACTATCTCTCCTTCATATTTGAGGGATAATTTTGTGGATACAATATTCTTAGATGATTTTTTTTCTTTCAGCACTTTGAAAATGTCACCCCAGTCCCTCCTGGTCATCTCACTCCCTCCTGGCCTGTACAGTTTCCATTGAGAAGTCAGCTGCCAGATGGATTGGAGATGCTTCATGTATGTTATTTGCTTCTTTTCTCTTGCTGCTTTTGGGATTCTTTTTTTGTCCTTGACCTTTGAGAGCTTGATTATTCTATGGGGTATTATTTGGGGTGAAAGAGTTTGGTATTCTCTGACCTTCCTGTACCTGGATATCTATCTCTTTCTCAAGTTTTGGAAAGTTTTCTGTTAGTATTTCTTAAAACAAGCTTCCTACTCCTTACTCTTACTCAATTCCCTCTTGAACACAGGTAATTCTTAGCTTTGATCTTTTGGGGTAATTTTCTATATCTTGTAAGCAGTCTTTGTTTTTTCTCATTCTTTTCTCTCCTCAGACTGTTTATTTTCAAATAGTCTGTCTTTGTCTTCATGTTCACTGATTTTTTCCTCTGCTTGATTCATTCTGTTGTTGAAAGCCTCTAATACATTTTTCAGTTCAACAAATGTATTACTCAGCTCCAAGATTTCTGCTTGATTTCAAAAAATTATTTCAATTTCCTTGTTAAATTTCTGTAACAAATTTCTAAATTGCTTTTCTGTGTTATCTTAGATGTCACCAAATTTCCTTAAGACTGCTATTTTGAATTTTTGGTCAGAGAGCTCACATCCTGCCATCTCATTAGTGCCAGTTACTGATTCCTTGCTTTGTCCCTTCAGGTAGGTAGGTCGTGGTTCCTCATTTGCTGTTGTTTCATGTGGATGTATGTCTATGTCTCTGCACTGAAGGGTTATTTAGTCCAGTCTTCTCTGTCTGCCTTGTTTTTGCTTTTTATTGGATATATTTTCTTAGAAACCCCCTTTTTTTTTCCCCCTTTTTTGAGACAGAGTCTCACTCTGTCACCCTGGCTGGAGTGCACTGGTGTGATCTTGGCTCACTGCAACCTCTGCCTCCTGGGTTCAAGCGATTCTCCTGACTCAGCCTCTCAAGTAGCTGGGATTACAGATGCCTGCCACCACATCTGGCTAAATTTTGTATTTTTAGTAGACATGGGGTTTCATCATATTGGTCAGGTTGGTCTCGAACTAATGACCTCAAGCGATCTGCCTGCCTCGGCCTCCCAAAGTGCTGGGATTACAGGCATGAGGCACTGCGCCCTGCCAGAGATCCTTTATCACTAGATTGCTGCCTCCTTTTTGGCTCTAGGTGGCGCCTTAAGGCCAGGTTCTCCTGGCTCTAGTAAATGATCAGAGCACTGCCCATCCTGAATGGGGGAGGTCCCAAAGGGGATACACTGGTAGTGGGACTGGCTAGGGGTCTATGCCCAGGGGACCGGTACAATGTTATCTCCTACAGTGTGGTGCTGCTGAACAGCCATGCTCATTTGGTGTTTCCTTTGGTCGAGTTATACAGCGGAGCGTCCAGGGCTGGGGATGGTAGTCTCACCTCCCCATTTTGTCTTTGGCTGTACTCAGGGGTATTTCTCTCTTCAGGAACTCATGATGCTTCTTGTGGGTTGAATTTCCTGCCAGGGAACCCAACATGGTAGGGAAACTAGTTGTCCACCTTGATCTTTTTCCAGTGCAGAAATCACAAGTCAGAGATAAATCCTTGTGATGGTTAATACTGAGTGTCAACTTGACTGGATTGAAGGATACCAAGTACAGATCCTAGGTGTGTCTCAGGGTGTTGCCAAAAGAGACTATCATCTGAGTCAGTAGGCTTGGAAAGGCAGACCCACCCTTAACCTGGGTGAGCACAATCTAATCAGCTGCCAGAGTGGCTAGAATATAAGCAGGCAGAAAAAAGTGAAAAGAGAGACTGCCCTAGCCTCCCAGCCTACATCTTTCTCCTGTGCTGGATGCTTCCTGCCCTCGATCATTGAACTCCAAGTTCTTCAGTTTTGGAACCTGGACTAGCTCTCCTTGCTCCTCAGCCTGCAGATGGCCTATTGCGGGACCTTGTGATTGTGTGAGTTAATACTTAATAAATTCTACTGCATATATATATATATCTGTTCCATTAGTTCTGTCCCTCTAGAGAACGCTAATACAATCCTCCACATCCTTAGTGCCAGGCAGACTAGAAGGAGAGATACTGCAGACATGAACGTCTGATTCTCCTACCACCTTCTTGGAGCTTTTTCACTTTTCTGTAGCCCTGGGAAGCGCCTCCTCCTTCTACTTGACCTCTAGAATATTGCTGGTGGTAATCTCGGCACTGTACATTTGTTCTTGATTTTCTTTTGCAGGGGGAGTGAAGCCAGCCTGTTTCTATGCTGCCGTTTTGGAACTCCTGAAAAATATTTTCACTGGATTAGAATTAGAGCTTGATAGTTCTTTCCTTTAAGGACTTGGAAAATATTGTGCCACTTTCTTGTCTCCATGTTTTAGGTAAGAAATCCACTGCCATTTAAATCATTGTTCTCCTTTAGCTAATGCGTAATTTCTTTCTGGCTGATTTCAAAACGTTTTGTTTTTAATTTTCAAAAGTTTGATCTTGATTTGTCTCGGGTAGATTTCTCTGGGTTTATCCTCTTTGGGGGAGTCACTTGGTTTCTTGGATCTGTAGGCCTTTTGCCTACAGATTCAAGATTTCCATCTCCTAGTTTTCCTCCTCTCCTTCTAGGATTCCAACAACATGAATATAAATCTTTGTGATTGTTCTTCAGCTCTCTCAGGCTTTTTATTTATTTATTTGGTCTATTTTCTCTCTGTTCAGCTGGATAACTTCCATTCTTCATTGATTTTTCTTCAAGTTCATTGATTGTTTCCTATATCATTTCCAACGAACTACTGAGTCCATCCAGTGAGTTTTTTATTTTAGTTACTGTATTTTTCAGTTCTATAAGTTTCCATTTGGTTCACTTTATCTTGTATTTCTTTGCTAAGATTTTTTTTTGTTTCAAGAGTGTCTACAATTGTCCACTTTTCATTGAAACATGTTTGTTGCTTTAAAATCCTTGTCAGGTAATTCCCACATCTGAGTCATCTTGGTTTTGTCATTTCTTGATTGTCTTTTCTTGTGCAAGTTGTGACTGTCCTGATGCTTGTATGATAAGTGATTTTGGTTTGTATCTTGGCTATTTTGGGTATTATATTTTAAGACTTTGGATCCTACTTAATTTTTCAGTAGAAAGTCACCCTTTTTGTTTAGTGAACAAGCCTGCGTGGGGTTAGAAGTTCAACTTCCTGTTGGGCCCCACTGTCACCACCTCAACAAAAGCAGAGGGTCAACCTGTACCAACACATAGGTGCCAGGTGGGGGTGGTAGTTCAGCTCCTTTCTAGGCTCTGTTGACACTGGTGGTGGTGTCTGGAGAGTGCAGCATTGACTAGTACTGCCTCATACCACCTTGTTACTGCCAGATAGGACTGCAATTCAGCTACCCACTGGATTTGCTGGCACCACCCCAGAAAGAGTGGGGCACTGACTTGTGCCATCTCCTACTACCTCACTGGTACTGGGTGAAGGTGAAAGTCCAGCTTCCTGCTCCACCCTTGTTGATACCACCTCAGTGGGAGAAGCAGGGAATCCCTGGAGGTTCTAATGCAAGAGATCCAGGATAGGGTTGAAGCGTATATACATACATACATACATATATATACACACATATATGTTTAATAAGTTAACCATTGCTTCAGACTAATAGATGTTCCCCAACTTATGTGGTTTATGACTTTTCAGCTTTATGATGATACAAAAGTATCCACAGAGAATGTACTTTGAATACTCATACAACCATTCTATTTTTCACTTTAATATTTAATAAATTATATGAGATATTCAACACTTTATTATAAAATAGACTTTGTGTTAGATGATTTTTCCCAACTGTAGGCTAATGTAAGTATTCTGAGCACCTTTTTTTTTGAGACAGGGTCTCGTTCCGGGAACATACCTTAGGTGGATTCTTCACATGCCTCATTTGACATTCAACAACATTGGATTTGAATGTTATTATTCATCTTTAACTTCTTTTTAATCACTTATTTCTTGATACTCCCTGCCTCAGACTCCGATTCAGGCACACTGAGCTTCCCTCAATTCTTTAACATTCTAGGTTGTGTTTTTTTGTTTTTGTTTTTTGAGACAGGGTTTCCCTCTGTCACCCAGGCTGGAGTGCAGTGGTGTGATCACAGCTCACTGCAGCCTTGTCCTCCGGAGCTCAATCAATCCTTCTGCCTCAGCCTCCCAAGTAGTTGGGATCACAGACAACCACACAAGGGTTTTTTTTTTTTTTTTTTGTAGAGACAGGGTTTCACCACTTTGCCCAGGCTGGTCTCAAGCACCTTGGCTCAAGCGATCTGCCCACCTTGGCCTCCCAAAGTGCTGGGATTACAGGCGTGAGCCACCATACCTGGCCTCTGAGCATATTTAAGGTAGGCTATGCTATGCTATGCTATGGTGTGTTTGGCAGGTTTGGTGTTTTAAATCCATTTTTAATGTTCAGTGAGTTTATTGGGACATAACCTCATCCTAAGTAGAGGAGCATCTCTATCACCATCTTGTATTAGGCACTTATATGTCATATACAGTTTAGAGATTCACCTGTATTTCATTTCTGTGCCAAGAACTCACCACCCTTAATATCATACCATGTCTTACTCATCTCTGTATCCTAGGTACCCATAACAGGACCTAAAAGTCAATAAATATCTGTTGAGTGAATTAAAGCAGCAGAATTCAGACTTTTTGATTAAATAATGATAATTGTATTAGAGTATGAGATAATCTAAACAAATCTAGATGCAATCAACAAGGGCTACTCAAAATGTGGGCCTCTGGCTAGTGTGTCTATAAACTATTTGAACTGGTCTGTAACAATTTAAGTATAGAAATTGAGAGTAAAAGTCTAGAAATGTTTAGAATGGCAGAGTTCTGTTGAATCTAATGAAAAATTGGGGCTTTTTTTTTTTAGTTAATTCTTTTTTTGTGGTAAAATACACATAATGTAAAATTTATCACCTTAACTATTTTTAAGTATAAAATTCAGTGGTATTAATCACATTCACATTGTTCTATCACTGTCACCATCCTCTGTCTCCGGAACTCTTTTCCCCTTGCAAAACCGAAACTCTACACTCATTAAACAATAACTCCTTCCCTGGCCCCCTCATCCCCCAGCTCCTGGAAACTCACTGGGCTTCCATTTGTACGTCTTTTTTAAAGCTTCATTTTTATAGTAATTCATCTTCATTTTATGAATGTTTTAGTCTGCAATGGATTAGAAATTAACACAAAGAAACTGATCCTTCCCCACAGATAATGTGAGAACACAGTGTTAGACTATTCAAACTTAACTTACCAGTGGCCCTGTCTGGAGTGCATAAGTGTTGCCTCGAATTACCCTTCTGTCATACATTATGTTTCCATAACGCATAGGTTCTTCATCTCTGTAAAACAGAAAATTCTGTAAAACCATTTTAATAGAGTATTGGTATTTATGAAGTAACTCATTTTCAATAGGATTTAGACTAAAATAAATATATTTTAAGAAAATAAATTTCTGTTTCAGTGTGGTCCATAAAATAAGGAGGTAAATGGATACAATTTATGTAATGCTTACTATATGCCAGGTCCTTCATGTACATTATTTATTTATTATTCACAATAAGCTGCCAAGGTGGGAATTATGATTCCTTTTTCAGAAGGGGAAACAGACTCTGGAATCTGCCCAAGGTCACTTTGCTAGTAAGTGGCAGGGCTAGATTTAGATTGTAAATCTGTATGACTTTAGTAAATATGAAAATGGCCCACCTGAAAAGGGGCCTTCTTTAAAGGACTGAAAAAAGCTTGATTCAAAGATTGAAAAGTTACAGTAATAAAAAAAT